TTTTTTTTTATAAAGCATTTTAAATGCCACAATAATCAATAATTTATTTAACTTTAATGCCGATTAAGGACTTTATTTTTATTTATTATTTTACCTTAAATGCAAAATATTTATATTATTAATAAATCATGTACTAAATTAGTTGACAATTATTTCATTAATCAATTCTTTCAGCTTTCTTTCTACTCTCAACCCAAGTACCGTATATGCATTGGAAAAAACTGGACAGTGCATTTCTAGTACAAACTATTTGATTAAATTTTTGGTTTTTGCAGCACTAGTGGCTCATTTTTCTGACAGGAAAGAGGTAATGCGAGAGGGGGACAGACGAATTCTATTTTACTAATTATTTAAAAACAATAAGGTGATAGCTTCAGTGGTATTGAGAAACCAGTTTTCATCTGTTCAATGTTTTTTTTTCATACTCTAATTTTTACAGCTGAATTTATTTATTTTGTTTTAGTTCCAATTCAGATTTGATAGAAAACATTTATTTTAATTAAAAAAATATATATAGAACTCCAAAATCATGAATGTATATTGACCTAATAAGACATAGAAATTGTAGTAAATCTAATTAAATAGAAATTTCACTTCATGCAGCCATCTTAATACATTTGAATCCCTCGCCCCGGTTTGGTTTTATTATTTATGCTTTTCTGTTACCCCATGAAAACACACTGGCCCCCTGATACCTGTGTTCTAGAACCGCCCCTGCCACCCTGGTACCGGACCCTGGGAGCGCTGAGGCCGTTAAAGGAGCGGGTTGCAAACCGCAGCCATCTGGGTGTTTGAGAACAGTTACAGATTTCTCTCAAGTCTGTTTATCGGCGTTTAAAATCCGCCACCAACCAACTGTTCTGAGCAGGTTTGGCATCAGCAGCGGGGTGGGCGGGAACTGCGGGTTCATAAACTTTAAGATCGATTATTCCAGATGGATTAAAATTGAGCCGAACGGACCCGAAAAGATTAAAAACACTTTATAACACTTATAAGACCCGGGATCTATGCGTTGCCCGGGTCTACAGCCAGTCAAATAAAATAGTCACTGTTTTTATCATGGAGTCTGGTGTGATGCGCCACTACAGCGTGCAGAATATCCAACTGTTTCAGTTTGAAGGTTACAATTAGACATGGGTCGGTCCGAGGACGAAGGTGGCGGAATTAAACAAAACCCGACCCAGATTAACTGAACTCTTTCGCTCTTGTTTTCCCTGAAGCAGTCGTCTGTACGCCGCCTGAGAAGTCTGCATCGGGACCGGATTCTGTGTTCGTTAGCCTGTTAGCTTGTAGCTGGAAACACAGGCGGCTCACGCGAGGAGCCCCCGCAACGGCACGAGAAGTGAGCGAGAGCATCCGCACGCGGCGGAGTGAACAGAGACCGGAGCAGAACCCCGAGCCTCCCCCCGAGTTAAAGGTCCGCCACGGCGTCAGCTTTTTAAAAAAGAACTCAGAGCTAAAGGCGGAGAAACCGACGCCTGTTTCCCGCGGAACGTATTCATAATGTCCGACTACATCCTTCAGCTGTTTTTTCTTTTTTGGTAATAATTAAATTAAATGAACTTCTTTTGTTTCTACAAACCTCTGAGGGATTCCTGTTCCTCAGCTCCAGGGTCACTCTCTTTTTCATTTCCATGATGAAGTTCTAACAAAGTGAATAAAAAGTATAACTAAGAAACGGATGAACACAGACTCAGTGAAGCTCTCCTTCTCCAGCGGCCATTAGACGACAACTAAACCTCCATGTTCGCTGCTGTGCGACCCCCACGAGTAGACCACGCCCCCTTCTCTATGAATATTCATTCGCCAAAGAAGCTCGTACTCTGATTGGTTAACAGACGTTTTACTCCACAAGCCCCTCCCCTGTGGCGCACCATGTAATTATTCTGTCAGTAACTGGTGCAAACTGTAAAGGCGGGGCTTTACTGGGGCAAATAAGAAGGCGTGAATAATGAAACATTTAAACTCTTTAGGCGCCAAGCCCGTTTTCCGATTGGCGCCATATTTACTGAAAACAACAAGCTTCCATTCATAAAAAACCTCAACTAACACAAGGACCAGGAGTTACTATGAAACCACCTAATCGTCCTTTTTTACTCTCTGCACCCTACTGAGCATTGATTCTTTATGGTGTTTACAAAATCAAAACAGATTATAAAATGTGTTTAAGGGAAACATAGACATCCTATTTAAATTTATATAAGCGTGGCTTGAAAACTTAAGAACAAAAAAACGGATAAAAGGACAGAAAGCTGTTTTGGGGCAACCTGCGAGATTATTAGAAGGAAAATTAACACATGTGTAAAACAGTTACTCAGAAAAGCTTAAAGTCGTGGGGAATTTAAATGTCAAATCATTCTGAATGTACTCTTTATTAGACTAATCCTGTCCAAAAATTTAGAAGATTTCTATTTGGGAAAAGAAATCCTGTCTTAAAATCTGTGGGGTTTTTTCCGTCATCTTATGCAGCCTTGTAGCAAATGATTGACCGGATTTAGATTTTCATGCTGACGTATAACCACGTCAGCCTGTACACCTAAAT